CAAAAAATAATTAAAACAGAATAAAAGAAAAATGTATTTTTCTACCTTTTAAAATAAAGTTGACTCAAAGAAGAAAAAAAAAAGAGTAGAGGTCCCCAACTGACTATTGTAATTGTCAATAAGTAAGGGTTCCAATTCCCCAGTAAAACATTGAATTGGCTCTTTTAAGAACTATTCATGAAAGAACAAACTGACAGCAGCAACTCAGGAGATTAGGTAGGAACTTTATGGGCAGTGAGTTTATGTTGATGAGGAAGGACCAACTCAGAAAATGAGGGTTAGAAGGATTGCACAGCTCAAAGAAGTAACCTTTGCCACTAAATGGCAGGTGTAGAAACTGTTGAATGGGTATATGGTTAGCTGTGTGTGTGTTCTCAGCAACAATAAACTTGATTAACTTTAGAAGAAAAAATAAAATAATTTTCAAAGAAGGACTCTGATGTATTCTGCTCATTTCTTCCATGGTGTTTTGTATATATCTCTCACTAAATTCTATTATTTTTTTGGTTATAAAAATATACTATTTTCTTTCATTTGCATTTTAGTTATTGTCTCCTCTTTAAGATTTCTCCTTAACTAAAACCAAAAGTTGGTACTTCTCCAATTCATATGACTTCAGAAATCTTTCAATTAATCTCATATACCTTTGAGGAAATATTTTGCCCATGTAACAGATGAGAAAATTAATAACTCAAGTGATCACTGTAGGCCTCCTGAGAACATTATGGTAGAGTGCAGTTTAACAGTAACTTCTAGGGCATTTCTAAGTGTACTCATCACTGACGGATCACTTATTTTTGCTGTCAGACAGTATTTTCCCATAATAAATATTTATGTACATTTACAGATTTTTTATATATATACAGAATATACTTCCATTTATATAGTCAAATATTTTTTAATAAAATGCTTTGAAAGATTATATAACACGAGAAATTGAATGTATAAAAGATGGCTGATAGGTAACAGAGTGATAATTTTTTCAAAGATCCATATTACTGAGTTTATCCAATTCAGACTGACTGTGGGCAATGTGTTAAAGAGAGCGAGAGAGAGAGAGATTTAGAACTTTTATGTTTAGCATGCCATTTCTTTCTTTCTCTCCATTTCAGAAAAATGGGCTTCATGAACACAGCTTTTAACACTGAACAGATTTACCCAAATCAGACAGCCTAGGTAGCTCTCAGAGATCAGCATCCTAAGCAGGGAGGGTTAAAGAAAGCCCTCATTACAGCCTCAGGAGGAAAATGCCTTTGCCTCCCCCACCCCTTCCTCAGCCCTCCCGCTCTTCTCTGGAGGAAGGAAAAGAGCCAGGGTCCTTGGCTGGCTGCTAGCCTGGGAACCTTTGTTTGTGGCAGCTCAAGAGTCCACACTGGTTGTTCGGATTTCTCCCCTTCCTCACCCTAAAAACCCTGCCTTTTCTTTACTGCAGCCTAAGCTGCTGTCCTTTGTCACAGCCCAGAATGTCACTATTTGGGGACGTTGGGTCACAGAAAGGTGATGTTTTCTTGTGCACACTTTCCCTGCATACCAAAAAAAAAAAAAGTGCTTTTTTTTCCAGCCTTCATAATTTATGCTGTCTCCATTTAAGCGTGTCTAAATTATATCGTAATATTTTCATGTTTTTCAAAAGCAAGTAAGGATGTCATTTGATGGAACAAAGCACTCAAAAATGGTATTAACATTTCTTGGCTTCCTCCACTCACTGCCCCCCACCCCACCCCCCGCCACAGTCCTAAGACTCTTCTTCTCCCCCTCCAATTTGCACTGTCTCCTAGTATCTACTTAGCAGACATATCTGTCCCTTAATTGTTTCATTTTTAAGTGTGCAGCCATTCTAATGGCTTGGTGTCCAACTTCATGTGTCCATTTGATGTTTCAGATTATCATTAAGTTAATGTTGCTTGTCGAGATTATATAGTTGTGCTGCACTACAGTGTAAGCACTGACTATAAATATCAAGGTTATTAATCAACTCTCTTAATTTTTCAAAACAAACAACACAGCTTAGCTTTTAAGCATCCCGAGTGTCTTCTTTTAATTAATGCATTTATGTTGCTTCTCTTTTCAACTAATTTAAACTTCAAACATTTCCCCTTGTTTTCGCCCGAGCAGGTGCTGCTTTCATGTTCCCATGTCTTTCACAGAGTAAGTAAATCCTGTTTTCACTCCTATCTTCAAGCCCGCAGCCCCTCGCTCTGGGGACGTAAGGGAATCCAGCCTGCTCTGACTCCTGTTCAAGTCTCCTGAAAAGTTCCAGTTCTTTCAGCCAAAGCACCAGGCATCGTTAGAAACATGACTCTAGGCTACAGTACAATTCACCCTGGTTTCAAAATCATGAATTTTACGTGACAAAAGAACCACAAATGTTTGTAGAGCGCATTGTTGTTAATAACAGACTTCAAAGTGAATGATCGCTTAATTCATGTGATTGAACTGCATGTTAGCCTTACACACAAAGATGATTTACCTTTACACGAGTTGGGTTTTTTTCCCCAGAAGTTTTTGATGTATCTGCATGTATATTCTTGTAAAAGATCACTTTGGGAACAGGTTTCATGGTTAAGGTGTTAACATCTGATGAAACCTCCTCTTCATAATCTAAATTGGACTGTCTCATAATTATTAGAGAAAAGAACACTGTAATTACATTAGAGGTAAAAATGTTGTTTATAAGTAATTACTCATAAAATTTCAAGTGAATGTTTTTCTTCAGGCATGCCTTCAGGCTTTTGAAAAGTTCACAAGCAAAAAAACCTGCCCTCTCTGTAGAAAGAACCAGTATCAAACCCGCGTGATTCATGATGGAGCACGGCTATTCAAAGTCAAGTGTGCAACGAGGTAAAAAAAAAAACAAAACCTTCCTCAAATCGGTCCTGAAGCCAGTGCCTAATTAGAAACAAGACAAAACAAAAACTCACTTGCTAATTGAAAGTATCTATTGAGAACACTAGCTAATGATAACTCATGTTTTAAAAGATGGGGGGCGGGGGTTGTCTCTCCACTTGGCCACCAACATCTCCCCAGTGTCCTACTTCCTATTCCAAACTCACTACCGATTCCAAATCAGAGCCACCCTCTAGGACAGGGTAGAACAAGCCCTTTGGGTTCCTGAGACTTCAATCTTGAACCCTTGCGAGCCGCCTCTTTCTCCCAGAGAGCAGCTGTGGGTTCCAACTGCTGACCTGGTGCTTGGCAGCTCAGTGTAGCCAGCCCACTCGGTCACCAGGACTGATACCGGCCTTACGTGAATACTGAAACATTTGTTAACGTCATCCTGGTGCCATTCTTTTCACATGCCTGCGTTTTAGAATCCAAGCCTATTGGAGAGGACATATTGTTAGGAAGTGGTACCGGAACCTGAGGAAAACCGTGCCACCCAAAGATGCCAAACTGAGGAAAAAGTTCTTTGAAGAAAAGGTAGGTGTGCATGTGTTCTAGTCATCTCAGACCCAAGTAACAGCAAAGCATCTGAGCCCAGCAAAGCACTCTGGGTGTTTGCTCCAACTTCAGACAACAGGCGGTGGCATAGCCATACAGTGCAATAGTATTGGATGGGTATGAGCCATTAAAAGGCCTCAGAGTCCCTGGGTAGCACAAGCTTTTAATTAAGATCTCCACGACTAGCCCAAAAGTTGGTGGTTCAAACTCCCCCAGAGGCAATTCAGACAATGGGCCTGCTTCCAAAAGGTCCCGGTCTTTAGGACTCCCTAAGGAGAAATACTGCTCTGACACACGAGGTTGCCATGAGTCAGAATCATCTTGCAAACAACCACACCAACAGCAGCACCATGGGCTGTGGTCCTGAAACATGCTGCAGCATGGATGGAACAGGGTGTGCTGTGGAAGAAGCCAGAACGGAAAGTCACCTAGTGCAGGAGCCCACTGATTGGACGGAGCCAGAATTAAGTAAGTCCCGAAAACCACAATGCAAATGGATGGTTACCAGTGATTGGAGGTAGAGGTGGAGGAATGGGAACTGGCTGCTCCAAAGGCATGGACTTTTCCTTCTGGGGTGATGAAAGCCTTCACAACAGTGTGCAAGTATTAAAGGCTAAACAGAAAAAGAAAGAGGTCGGTAGCGAACACTGATTCCCCAGATAAAAACCCTCCCAATGACTCTGCAGGAGATGGGCCTCATAATCTGCTTCCGCAAAGATTATAGCCAGGAAAACCCAGTAGGGCAATTCTGCTCGGTCACGTGGGGTCAGGGCCACTCGGAGTAGGAACTGACTCAATGGCACCTGTAACCCCAACAGCCACCGCGATATAAGTTGTCAGTTGTCTGCAATCATGTCAGGAATTCACAGCTGAGTTCATAAGACTAACAATGACAAGAAAGCTTGGAGACTCATTTAATTTTTAGGGCTTTTTAAAAAATTAGTTGAGATGCTACTGAGAGTATTTTCCACAGGTGCTAGCTTTCCAACCTAGATGGTAAATTTCAGAGAGCTAAACTTCCAGATTTTCTTTCTGAGTAAATCATAAAATTTCTAAAATTGGACTAAAGGTAAATTTTAAAAGTTATTACTTGCTGTGTTTGAATAAATCTAATCTCTTCAGATCAAGCAATGGAAAAGAACATTTCTGAACTGTCAGTAAATGAGGGGATCAGATGTTAGGAAAAATAAAGTCCGCAAAATTCTACAGCTTTATTGAGTTTCCTGGGCCCGCTGAGGATCAATATGTATGTAAGAGTTCTAGAAATAGAGAACTTCAGCATCTACCCTTTCTTTTAACTGTTTGTTTTTTCAAAAATACTCTCATGTTTCCCTTCCACTGTTGTAGAATCTCCTCCTGTGAAGAGATACAGTCTCCAAAACCCACAGTAGCCGGTCTACCCCATCCTCTAAGGTCCCTATCAAGCAGCAGCATCTTGATGGCAGGGAGTTTACCTTTATCTAACTCTCGTCCCAAAGAAAGAACCCTCCCGGTGCAGTGGTAAGGTGTGGCAGTCTGCTTCTGTAAAGATTACGGCCTCGGAAACCCCACGGGGAGTTCTGCTCTGTCCTATCGTGGCAGTGGGAGTTGGGATCCACTTAATGGCAATGAGGGTTTTAAGACCACAGGCCACAAGAAGAGGGATGGTAAAAAGGAAAGGATGCAGACTTTGGAGCTTTGCACACCTGGGTACAAATCCAATTCCCTCCACTTTAGTTGTGTAGCTTTAGGCAAATGACAGCTGCTCCACACCAGTTTCCTTACCTGTGATGAAAGTGACTATTTCTACCTACAATGTTATTCTAAGATCTTAAATTCTGAACACTCGGTTTGCAGAAAGCCGTGCGTGACAGTTGAAGCTTGAAACAGAGAAGAGTTGTGCAATCGCCACCACAGTCATTGTCAAACCTTTTCTGCTTTCTTGCTGTCATGAGGGCCTCATTTCCCCCCAACCTCTCCTGCCAGGCTCCTAGATCATTATTAATCCAGTCACTGTCTCTGTGGATTTACCTACCCTGGATTCCATATACAGAAAAGCATACAAAACACAAACAGGATGCAAACAAACAAAAAATCAACAACAATGACTATACAGCAGGGAGAAAAACCTCCATCAAAAGGAAAGCAGGAAATATCAAAAATTGGAATAAATTTAAAATGAGTCAAGGGAGATCAAATAATAAGGTGTTACATTTTCCCCTAACTACTTCTGCCATAATCAACTTTTCAGTGTGTTGTGTCTGACAGCAAGGCTATTCGCATCCCTAAACTATGGTCAGAGGGAATTCACCAGAGGCTTCATCCAATGAGGACCTTGCAAATGGATTTTGGGTATCCACTGTCATCCATAGCCTTCTCTAAACTGAATGTTCTGGCACCATTCCTTCCTCCAGATTTGCATTTTATTATTTACAATCCAGGGATCACACAGGCTGATACACTTCTTTGTGGATTTAATCGGTGTCTCCACTTAGATGGTTGCTTGCTTTAAGACCATCCCTTAAGACCCCACTCACTATTCTTTCTGATAGCCAGGTACCATCTGACTTCTTCATTATACTTTGCAATAACACTCATATCTTCAGTGATCTCTTTATGGAGGCTAGTCATCAAGTAAGGCCATGGAGCCTATAAATCTTTATGTGAGCTGACAGCCTCCCACTTCTCCAAAAGAGCAACTTGCAGGTTTGAATTGTGCTAACCTTGTGGTTTGCTGAAAACTCAACCAACTATGCCACCAATTTGAATTTACTGTATTAATACATTATTCATGTTAATTCTTTTATTTTGTTATATTAAATATTTTCATTTTTGATAACAGCACTCTATAAAAGTACAATGTTCCTACATGCTGTCATTACCACTAAAACTCCTCATAGTCACACTTTCCTATCATTTTCTGGGGAAATATTAGTTATACAGTTATGTAGCTCTTTCCTAACCCTGTTTTGTTTTTTCACCTTTTAGCCTGCATTCTCATTTAGAATAACAACTAATAATGGAAGGTTAATCTTTACTTTGTAAAGTCCACCCCCTCAAAGTATAAATTCCTTCCACTTTTGAGGCCTCCCTAGTGAGCTTGCTATCACTTGTCTGTCAGTGGGTTTACTCAGTGTTGTTGAAGAATTTCCCATAGCCAACACCTTTCTTTGGAAGAAAGATGGGGCTTTCTACTCCTGTAAAGAAGTTGCAGTTTTGGACTGCACAGAGGCAGTACTCCCCTGGCCTCTGGGGCCCTAGGAGTCTGCAGCAATTGGATGGCAGCGAGCTTTGTTTGTTTGTGAAGAGGGTTCAGCTGTGTTTCCAGACTAAGATGAGACTATGAAGAAGGACTAGGCTGTCTCTGAGGGCTTAGCCACTGAGAACCGGGCGAAAAGCAGCAGAACATTGTAAGATGTATGGTCTGCTGAAAGGTTAGTCTTTCAGGTCAGATAGCACCTAACACAGCACTGAAGCAGAGCTGTGTTCTCAAAGTGGAATTGGCCATAATGATGTGGATAGAGTATACTTTTTGGGACCTTCATTTCCTGATGAGGAAAGCATGACTCACAATTAGAAGAAACCGTTGCCGGCATCTATTAATCATCAAATACAGAGTGTATGAATTATGAATCTAGAAAAATGGAAAGTTGTCAACAATGAAATGGAACACATAAAAATCAAAATCTTGGGCACAGTGATCTTAAATGGACTGATATTGATGATAGTGAATCAGATCATCATATGGTTTGCTAGGCCACATGATGACAAGGACCACCATGGGCGACCAGTTCATGGATGAAGAAGTGGACAAGATGTACCGTGAGGTTCCCATCAAGTTAAAAAATGGCAAACTAAGGCCTTCAGTACAACTTATACTTTTTCCTTCATTACCATTGATTCTTGGCCATCTACTACTACTTAAAATGGTTGGATGTTGACTGGTTCTTTTTGGGACAGTGACTCTATTCCATCTTCTATTGATGCTTTTGCATCAGTCAATGCTTGTCCTTAGAATCTTTTAATATTGCAAATTGAGGCTTGAATTTTGTCTTCATTTCCTTCAGTTTGAGATATCCTGAGCATGTTCTTCCTTTTTGGTTTTCTAACTCCAGCTCTTTGTATATTTCATTGTAATACTTGGTCTGCTCAAGCTGGAAGAAGTAAAAAGTTGGGGAAGACAGCTACTTGGCCAACTGACCGGAAGAGATCCATATTTGTACCCGTTCCAAAGAAAAGGGACCCAACAGAATGCTCAAATTGTCTAACAATATCAATTATATCACATACAAGCAAAGTTTTGCTAAAGATCATCCAACAACAGTTGTGGCAGGACATTGACAGGGAGCTGCCAGATTCAGGCTGGATTCAGAAGAGGATGTGGATTTCATTGCTGATGTCAGATGCTTGACTCACAGCAGAGAAAACCAGAAAGATTCTTGCTTGTGTTTTGTTGATTATGCAAAGGCTTTCAACTGTGTGGATCATAACACCCTATGGATAACATTGAGAAGAATGAGAATTCCAGAACACTTCATTGTGCCCATATGGAACCTGTGCATGAACTCCAAGAGGCAGTCGTTCAAACAGAACAATGGAATTCTCTATGGTTTAAATTCAGGAAAGGTATTTGTCAGTGTTGTGTTGTATCTTCTCACCTTACTTATTCAATCTGTATGCTGAACAAATAATCTGAGAAGCTGTACTATATATGAAAGAACAATGCAGCAGGATTGAAGGGAGGCTTATGAACAATTTTTGATATGCAGATGACACACCCTTGCATGCTGAAAGTGAGGAGGACTTGAAGCACAATCCTGATGAAGATCAAGGATTGCAGCCTTCAATATGGATCACAACTCAATGTAAAGAGCAGGCAGTGCTTTGTTCTGATGTATGCAGGGGCATTATGACTTAGTACCAATTTGACAGCATCTAACAGTGTAAAGCAGTGTGATCATTTATTTTTTTCTAATACCTTCACTGATTTACTTAAGTAG